TTCTGGAGAAGAGAGAAATAGGAGGGTGAAGGGGCAGATAGTGGGCAGGGGGGAGCTTTAGAGAGCATGTCATTGATGTCAACAGAGACCAGTACTTGCGAATAGCTCTGTACAAGACCGGCTGGGAGGTGACAACCAGGATTGGGGGTGCCATGGACTGGGGCAAGATCTTATTCTGAAGGCAGCATCTGCATGGGGTGCTAGGGAGGCTGTACATTTCAGCAATCCATGTAACGTGTGCTCTGGCAGGAGTGGGTGAGTGAAGGCGGCAGAGGTGCTCCTGCTCCCTGGACCCAGGTCCAGGCCCCTCTCTGACCCTCGGATTCTATCTTCAGTTTCCATCTCTTTCCAGTCTGGTGTTAGTTACTCTGTCCTGCCGCTCTGATCCTCTGTGTCCTTCTGTGTACATTGATCCCTCCTGGTGTTCCTTTGTCTCTATTCTGCCCAGTCTGGGTCTCTGGTCTATGCTCCAGTCCATTTTTTTTTCTGTCCGTAGATGGGGATCTGACACCTCAGACCCCCTATCCACCTGCTCTGTCTTCAGTCTCCCAGGATCTCTGGATCCTGCCAGGCTTTCATGGCTCACCCCGTCTGTCCCCTGGCCCAGTAGACAGACCCCTGGCCCTCAGAGGAGGATACACCCGGTTACCCCGGAATCAATGTTCTCTCCTCTTCCCAGGCAGCACTGAGAATTCCAGGAGCTGCTGGACATGGCAGGCCACGGGGAAGAGCCAGCTCTGGCGTCACCTGCCTGACCTCTGACCTTCCCCTCATGCAGCTCTCCGTGAAGAAGGAGACCATGGTATGGAGGGCAGCGGGCGGCAAGCGGCCTCAGGGAGGGCCAGCATATGGCTGTGTCGCTGTGCACGGAGTGGGCACCAGCAGCTTGGCGTTATTGTCTCTTTGCACCTGCTGGGCCTGGTCAGCTGTCACTTCGCTTTTTGGTCACAATTTCTGGTCTTCTTGCCCCCTTTTATTTCAGCTTCTACCCTGGAGGAGGCAGGAAACAAGAAAGCACATGAGGAAGTAGGTGGCAGAGGAAGAGGGAGGACCTGTGTTCAGGCGGTCAGTCCAGCCACATTCGCATAGAGGCTCAGAGACAGTGTCAGCTGGTGGTTATGAGCACAGGCACTGCAATTGGCTACCACTGTGTCCCCGGGCTAGTTGTGTCCCCGCTTTCCTTACGTGTAAAATGGGGGCAGCAATAACGTCTGCATTGCAGGGTAGCTCTGTGCAGGCTCATGGTCAGCTTGTAGGCATTCTGGTACAACTTCTGTTTCCTATGACAGGTGTTTGTTCTGATTGGAGGGCGCGCACAGTTATTGTTAAATATTTCAACCAGCACCCCAGTTATGGGGATAAAATAAAGTAAAGCAGGTCATAGTGCTTGGCACATAGGAAGCTGTTACAGCAACAATAATACTACAATGTGTTGAGTTATTAAAGTAATTACATTATTATATATAATTGCACATTATTGTTATTAAATTGCTGAATGTATTATTCAAAATAATATTTTATATTACTATTCAAAATAATATTTTATATTATTTATAATATAAATATTTATATTTATATTATTATGGGCTTGGATAGAAGTTGAGGGAAATGCTAGAGAGATTCACGACAATTGGTGCCAATTCTCTCCACCTTCCCCCCTCAACCAACCTGTGCCCTGATTTCTCCTGGGACTTGTGACCTCCAGACACATCATTTTCTCCAGCTCTCTGAGGCACAGGAAAGAAAAGCATAGGAAAAGAGAATGTCTATACTCTTTTCTTTCCTCTCTCTCTCTCTTTTTTCCCCCCACAGCGTCTCCTGGTCAGTAAGTATTTATTGGGTCTTAATAAGTGCCAGGTTCTGTGTTAAGTGATGAGGTTACAGTGGGAAACAATCAAACCATGCATGTTCAAGCTGAGCTGCTCAGGGAGGATGTGCTCAACTTGTGGAATTTCCAAGTTAACGTGGGCTTGCTGCCTGGAGCTCAGACCGAGTCCAAGGAGCTGGCCTGGGATCCATCTTCTTCCTAGGCCTCCTCTCTGCACGTAGCATCTTGGGGCGGTGTGATGCTTTCTGCTTCAGCTCTTGCAGTAGCTGGAGATTTTCCTAAGTGCCCGGCCTGCCTTGCAGGCTGGTGACCAAAACTGGGTCTGGTTTTAAGGAGCGAAGCCAGGATAGTGATCTAACTTTCTCAGACTTGGTCCTGTAGGCAAGGGAGCCATTGAAAGATTAAAGTAGTCATTCCATCAAATTTTTGTTTTAGAAAAAGTGTTCTGCAAACCAGTGCCCAGGATGAGCTGGACCAAAGGCCCAGCTGGAGGACTGAGGTGAAATTCGAGTGAGAGAGAGATGCCAGTGCCTGAACCAGAGAGTAGGGGTACGGATGGGTATGAGAGGCACTTTGGAGGTGGTGGCAATGGAACCTGGGGACAGATAGGATGGGGGGGGGGGGGGGGAGAAAGAAGATGAGGAGATTTTCCCAGGTTTCTGGCTGCTATGACTGCATTGATCTTAGAGATGCCATCAATTTCTTCCAATAAAAAATTCTTTGCCCTCGTGATTTTTCCCCCCTTTTGAGAATCAAAGCCAGAAAACATTCAGTACATTGAGGACTCAGAGGAGCTGAGCTCTGGTTTGGATAGCTATGGTTTAGCTGCTCGTGAGAAACCCTCCTGCAGCTAAAGAATGAGCGATACTCAATTTCTCCCACAGGTTCCCTCTCTGAGTCTCCTTTCTCCATGTGTGAGATAAAGACAATGATCTCTGCCCTATTCTTCTCACAGAGTCATCATGAGGCTTGCTCATGAGGTTCAAAGAGAAAATGAGTGTGAAGGTATATTATAAAGTACAGGCCCAAAGCTGAATTCTGTATTTTTAGCCCAAATGGAGGTACAGAAGCCAGGCTCATCAGGGTGGATAATGATGTCACCCTTTGTTTTCCCTCACATGGGATTTCTGGTCCCTAGACCTGAGAGTCGGGTAATTTCTTCCCAGTGAAGAGTGTTTTACTTTCAGGAGAGTTGGGGGAAGGATGATGGGAACCCGGGACTTCAGGGAACCCCAGTTTCTCACCCTCAGACACATGCTGCCGGTTTAGAGACAGTGTGCTCCATTTGCCCTCAGTCTTCGTGTGTGGTTCAATCAGGTCAAACAACCTTTATCATCAGACTCTTAAAGAGCAAGCCATTCATTGGCTGTGTGTAAAAAAGAAAAAGAAAAAAAGTTAGAAATGGCAGCACATTTTTTTGATTCTTGGACCTCACGTAGAAGATTCTCATATGGTTGGGATTCTTCTTCCCAGGAAGAATGTGGCTTTCAAAGTAGGTGTTTTTATTTCTGTTTCACAGGTGAGGAAACGGAGGCCTACAGAGTGAGCTAACAGCCCAAAGTCACTTAGCACACAAAGCCAGAGCTGGGATTCTAGCAGCACCTGCCGTCTCTAACCCCAAGCCCTTTCCATGCTGCTGGGTAGTTTCTTTCCTGTCGAGACTACCAAACCCAACCCACTGTACTTTTCACAGAAACTAATGCCAACCCGGGGAGACAATGCAACCTCTGGTTAAAGGTAGGAATTTAATAAAAATAGTTTCTGCCAGCTAACTGAAAGCTGTTGAGTAATCTCTGAGAAGGTCCTAGAAAAATATCTAGGATATATAGGAAGTTCAAAGTGTATTCAGTCTTTTGGCCAAAGTCAAGAAACCATCTGATGCATTAAATGTAGACACAGGTTCTTTTTTTAAAAAATTTTCTTTATTGATTAAGGTATCACATATTTGTCCTCAACCCTCCACTCCAATCTCCAACCCCCCCACACACTTATGCCCTCACACCCCTATTGTCCTAGACCACTGGTTAGGCTCATATGTATGCACATAAGTCCTTTGGTTGATCTCTCCCTTTTATGAAGACTCGTTCATGATGTTCCAGAGGAGAACAAGCATACTGCAGAACAAGTAGGCTGAGTCAGATAAATTGGAAAAGGAATAACACTGACAGCATTGAGATTGCTCCCATTCCCTAAGTACTGATGATGCACATGACATCTCTTCAGTAAGGCTGTCCTCCCCCTATTACTCAGGAAGGGAGAAGGCGCGGGGCACTTAAGTTGATAAAGACCTAAGAGTCAGTAAGAGGCCAATCCTAGCAGCAAATGCTCAGAGAAGCAACAGAACGTGGGTACCTGAGAGAATGAAAATTGTGGTCATCGTATATGATGGAGTATCTCTGGATGTTTCCTGGCCTAATTTGGACCTGAATCTCAGTCCTGTGTGTGGAGAATCATCCAGAAATGCAGCTAACATTTATTACACATCGACCACATGTTAGACCTTCTGTGTGATGCTTTTCATGCCAAAGTATCACCCAGTCCTTGCAGCAAAATTGTAGCAAAGTAACCATTACTCTCATTTTGTACTCAAGGAAGTAGTCTCCCATGGATAGAATGCTGGGTAAAGGGCTTGCTCAAGGTCATTTATTCAGGAAATTATAGAGCCAAGGATTTAGAACTCAGCATTCCTTCTAACACACCACGGCCTGTGATGGGTAAAATTTGAGTGGAAAAATAAATTGATGTCTTCAACAGGACCAAGTAGGATATCTCACTAAAATTTGCCAAATTTCATAGAATATGTTCACTAATATTTATCTCTGAACACCTGGTTGCTTAACTACAGAGAAGAGGATATTAAGGGGAAATAGAGATCAGCTAGTCCAATGCCTTTATTTCAAGCTGAGGAAACTGAGGCTTAGATGGGTAATTGCTGATGGGTCAGAGGCAGAGTCTAACCTAGATGTGAAAGCCCTTTTCTCTTCTCACATTTCCTGGGAGTGGTGGCAATAGACAAGAGTGGGTGAAACAGGCTGCCATGCTGAGGGAGATCATGGTATTTCATCATAACCAGATACTGACCACTACCCTGACCCCATCAGTAGCCCTCACCCTGGTGCATAGTTTAGCTAAACCTCTCTCTGTCTGAATTGTGCCTTTCTTTTTCCTTTAGAAGTGGAACACAATGCAAAATCTAACCTGACCTATGTGACTGAATTTATCCTTCTGGGCTTCTCCTTCAACCCCAGGCTCATGCCTCTGCTCTTCTCAGCCTTCCTGATGACCTATCTGCTGATTATTCTGGGCAACAGCTTAATCACCATCCTCATCTGCCTGGACTCGCACCTCCACACGCCCATGTACTTCTTTATTGGCGTCCTTTCTATGTTGGATCTTAGCTACACCACTACAACTGTGCCCCAGATGTTGGCACATATGGCCAGCCAGAAGAAGGCCATCTCCTTTGCCAGCTGTGTAGCCCAAATGTACATTTTCTTGGTTCTAGGTGTCACCGAGTCCTGGCTTTTTGCCATCATGTCTATAGACAGGTATGTGGCCATCTGCCACCCACTTAGGTACAAAGTCATCATGAGCCCATGGCTGTGTGGGGTCATGGTCATTTTCTGTGGACTCTGGGGTGTCATCTCTGCTCTTGTCTACACTGTGTTTGCCATGCGTCTTCCCTACTGTGGCCCCAATAAGATCAACCATTTCTTCTGTGAAGTCCCAGCCGTCTTAAAGCTGGCTTGTGCAGACACCTCAGTCAATGATCGGATAGACTTCATTCTTGGCTTCAGTGTCATCCTGATTCCACTTTCCCTTATCCTTGTCATTTACGCCAATATCTTCATTGCCATCTTGAGGATCCGTTCAGGCCAAGGGCGGCTGAAGGCCTTCTCCACCTGTGCCTCCCACATCACTGTGGTCACCATGTTCTGTGTGCCGGCCATGGTCATGTACATGAAGCCTGGCTCTGAGGCCTCCCCAGAAGAGGACAAAAAGTTGGCCCTGTTCTACAATGTCATCTCTGCTTTCTTCAACCCCATCATCTACAGCCTCCGAAACAAGGATGTGAAGAGGGCTTTCCTCAAGGTGACAGGCTGGGGTAGGGACCCAGAATGAGGCCCTGGGAGGATAGCTTGGAGACAGAGAAACAAGACTCATGATGCACAGCCAATGCCCAAACACTCATTCACATGACTCAGTAGCACCAGTACACACTCCCCTTAGCCTTGATCTCAACTCTATACTGGTCCTTGGGGAACAGCGCATAACTTAGCTGCTAGATGGACACCATGAAATGTCTTTCAGGTGCACCAGTCTTTCAGTTCCCTTTCTTTTTAGAGTCTTAGTAGTTAACAAAAAAATGGGTGTGCAGATATTAAAATTTTTTGTTGAGACAAAGAGAATGAGATTGGGGGTATGGCTAGTGTCTGAATCTTGAGAAAGGCTCATTACCTTCTGGAAACTGCACACATAGTATTAGGTTAGGTGGAGAGGAGGGCAAGGGCACTGACCTCAGAGGATTCCTGGCCCAGTGAGGAGAGCAAGGAAATGTCATTGCAGTGGCTTTGTGTGCTTCTTCAGATACACATATGGAAACAAGTTGGGAAGGCTTGAGGCCAGGTGCAATCTGCCCCCACCTGACCTTCCCAGACTCCTCTCAGGTCATTCTGTCCTCCCCTCATTCCAAGTAAACGGAACTCCATCTTTGCCCTGAAGGTGCCATACTCTTTCCCATTTCAGGGCTTTGACACATGCTATTCCTTCTCTTGTCACCATTAACTCCATCCCACTTCTTTTTTTTTCTTTTTTTAAATATATTTTATTGATTTTTTACAGAGAGGAGGAGAGAGGGATAGAGAGCTAGAAACGTCGATGAGAGAGAAACATCGACCAGCTGCCTTTTGCACACCCCCTACCGGAGATGTGCCCGCAACCAATGTACATGCCCTTGACCAGAATCGAACCTGGGACCTTTCAATCCGCAGACCGACGCTCTACCACTGAGCCAAACCGGTTTTGGCTCCATCCCACTTCTATCCTACCCAATTATACTGTTAACTCATGTTCATTCTCAGGTCTTGGATTGAACTGCAGCTCCTCAAAGAAGCCTTTCTGTGAGCCCTCAGAGTGAGTTAACCTTCTAAACCATCCCATACCTCTCCCTCAGAATAATAAAGACATGAGGTGTAACACCTGGGTTCTCTGCTAGACAGCAAGTTTTATGAGGCAGGGACCATGATTATCCAGTTGACTGCTGTGAGTGGAGAGTTGATAAATTAGGTGTATCAAAACGCAGGAAGTAGTGGCAGGTACAAAAAGGGGAGGAAGCAAAAAGGATTAAATGTTATTCAGCCATAATCATATGAGAAAAATATTTTCTTTTGTTATTAATAAACATGAAATATCATTTGTCAAACTAGCAAAATTTAGAAAAATGGTGATGCTTAATGCTGGGAAGGATATAGTGAGACAGAGCCACCCGCACTTTCATTGCTAAGGAGAATATCATTGGTTCTAGTATATATTGATACCATAAACCTTTATAGGGTCTATATACTTGGGTCCAGAAATTTTACTTCTAAGGTTTTGTCCTAAGAACAAAATCAGAAATGCAAGTTTTTATCTACAAGTGTGTTCATCAAAGAATTATTGGAAACAGCTGTAAATAAGTTATCTTAATTTTAGTAAATATTATGTAACCAATACTATGTACTATCATGCTTTGAAGCAATATTTCATTACATTGAAAAGTATGATATAATTTTTAGGTGGAGAAAATCAATATTTAAAATTGTGTATATAAGGTTAATCCAAGTTTTAGAAAATATTCATACATTCATTTTTTTAAAATATATTTTATTGAGGTTTTTTTTTTTTTGTTTGTTTGTTTTTTTACAGAGAGGGAGAGAGAGGGATAGAAAGCTGGAAAAATTGATGAGAGAGAAACATCGATCAGCTGCCTCTTGCACACCCTCTACTGGGGATCTACCCGCAACCAAGGTACATACCCTTGACCGGAATCGAACCCAGGACCTTTCAGTCTACAGGCCGATGCTCTATCCACTGAGCCAAAAACAGTTTTGGCCATACATTCATTTTTAAAAGCCTGAAAGGATATGCAGTTGACTCTTGAACAATGCAGGAGTTAGTGGCCCTAATCTCTGCAGAGTTGAAAATTCACATACAACTCTGACTTCCAAAAAACTTAACTACTAATAGCCTACCGTTGAACAGAAGCCTTCCTGATAACATAAACAGTCAATTAACAACATATTTTGTATGTTATATGTATTGTATATTGTATATTGTATGCCTATAATAAAGTAAGCTATAGAAAAGAAAATGTTGTTTTAAAAATCATAAGGAAGAAAAATCCATGTACTATACTTATTGGGAAAATCCATGTATTAGTGAACCCATGCTGTTCACATATGTGTTATACAGTTGACTAGGATCAACTGTATATTAACATGTTAACACTGGATACCTCTAGGTAGTAAGATAGTAAGTAATTTTTTATTTTTGGTCATATTTTAGTTTGTAAAATTTTTACAATCAGCATATCTTGTCTTTTTTTTTTTTTTAAATAAAGATTACTTTAAAATATTTGTTGTCCTGTCAGAAAAAAAGAAAGTTAGCCATGATATTGGTATCATTCATTATTCATCAAATGTCCATTGATGCTTACTGTATGGCAGGCCTAATGCTAGGTCCTGTAGATGCAAAAATGGATAACATAAGTCCCAGTGTAGTGTATGAGAGACTAGAAGCACTAAGACAAGTGCTATAGTAATAAAAGGGTAATCTATCTATCTATAGTAATAAAAGGGTAATATGCTAATTATACCAGACATCTTCTGGACGACCTTATGGACATCCTTCCTGACAAAGAGTAATATGCAGATTCACCATCACTCCAACACACAAGATTGCTGCACCCATGTGGTCAAAGATCCTGTCCCCATGTGAACACAAGATGGCCACCACAAGATGGCCAGCAGGGGAGGGCAGTTGGGAGGCACCAGATCTGCAAGGGAGGGCAGTTGGGGGTGATCAACCCTGCAGGGGAGGGTAGTTAAGGTTGACCAGGCTGGCAGAGGAGGGAAGTTGGGGCAAACAGGCTGGCAGGGGAGCAGTTAGACATCAATCAGGCTTGCATGGGAGTGGTTAGAGGCCTTCCACATGTGGGAAGGATCTTTGACCTCATGAGGGCAGCCATCTTGTGTATTGGAGTGATAGTCAATCTTCATATTACTCTTTTATTAGATAGGATAAAGGCCTGGTGCATAGGTGAGGGTCAGCTGGTTTGCCCTGAAGGGTGTCCCAGATCAGGTTAGGGGTTCCCTTGGGGTGTGGGGCAGCCTGGGCGAGGGTCCTGTGGTGGTTTGCAGGCCAGCACACCCCCAGCAACTTAAGTGGAGGCCCTGGTATCTGGAATTTATTTACCTTCTGCAATTGAAACTTTATAGCCTGGAGCAGAGCCAAGCCTTCTGCTTGCTCCCTGGCCAACAGTCATTTCTGTTTGGATTTGTTTACCTTCTATAATTGAAACTTTGTAGCCTTGAGTGGAGGCTTAGGCCAGCAAGGGCAGGCAGAAAGTTTGGCGTTTTCCATTGCCTGGGAAACCCAAGCCTCCCTCCTGCTCTCTGTGGCTGCAGTCATCTTGGTTGGGGTTAATTTGCATACTTGCTCTGATTGGATGATGGGTATGGCTTATGGGGGTGGCTTGTGGGTGTAGCGGAGGTATGATCAATTGTATATTACTATTTTATTAGATAAGATAATCTGAATAGGACTCAGAGCCAAAAGGAAAGCCTATGGAAAATGTGATTTGGAAGACATGAAATTTGATTTTTGAGATTTCTCTCAAGCCCATTACAAGACTAATATCAAGATCTAAGAATGATTGAATCCATGTGAGGTACAAGCAGAGATATAACATCAAATGTCTCCAGCTGATAGAAAACCTTTTTGATGCAGCATGATCTGCTTCAAAGATAATTCAAGAGTTTCAGTTATCTTCTCTGTGGTATTCAGCTCTATTTTATTTATTTTTATTTTATTTATTTATTTTTTTATTTTTTTACAGAGAGGAAGAGAGAGGGACAGGGAGTCAGAAACATCGATGAGAGAGAGTGATCAATCAGCTGCCTCTTGCACACCCCCCACTGGGGATGGGCTCTCAACCAAGGTACATGCCCTTGACCAGAATCGAACCTGGGACCCTTCAGCTCACAGCTGACGCTCTATCCACTGAGCCAAACCGGTTTTGGCTCAGCTCTATTTTATGCTTCTTGCTTAAAATTTGTTCTTCTCCTTGGCTCCCCGGTAAACATTATGGAACTGGATGAGTAGTTCCTTAGCAGAGGCCAACTTAAACCTACCCAGGTAAACTGAGGTCCTTGTTGGAGAGACAGAGGTGATTCTGAAAAGCGAAACTGTCTGAAAGGACAAAGCTGGCCACCCCTAAATTTAATAAAAGTAAACATACTCACTACAGAGCACTGAACCCCTGGGGCTAGAAGGGGTTTTTTTAGATCTTGTATGATGGGGCGAGGAGATGTCGATGGAAGGAAATTCTATAGTCCTATACCATTAAGCAAAGTAAATTCCAATTTTATTGAATTTTGGGATTTGTTATAGAGATACTAGTTCTCTCTCATGTTCAAATCAATAATCATGCATCTGTGTTCTACTTGATTAATATTTCAACTTTCTATCTCAGAGGCAGCTCAAACTTATCATGCCCAAAAAGAAATGTATTACCATTCACTTCAAACCTGTTTCCTTCATGGGTTTCCCATTTCAATAAATGATGCCACCATCCGCCCAATTAACCAAGGCAACTAATGCTGCACATCACTAAACCTCATTAATTTTCTTCAACATCCCCTTTGTCCCATCCCCACTATACCTGGCCAATACCTAAAAAACTTACTTGGATTAGTTTTTGTTGTTGTTGTTGTTATTTGTTTGTTAATCCTCACCCGAGGATATTTTTTCCCATTTATTTTTAGAAAGTGGAAGGAAGAGGGAGAGACAGAGAGGAACATCCATGTGAAAGAGACACATTAATTGGTTGTCCCCTGATGCACCTCAACCAGGGCCGGGGAACCTGCAACCAAGGTACATGCTCTTGGCCAGAATCGAACCCGAGACCCTTCAGTCCAATGTTCTGTCCACTGAGCCAAACTGCTAGGGCTTACTTGGATTCTTTTTAATACCCCTACTGGCCTTCTTCCTTCTAGTATTATGAGCCAAACTGGCTACCAATCTTTCAAAAACATTCATCTGACCACCCAGTGATATACTGTTAAATATTTAATGATCAGCTTTTGGGGAAATAAAAGGCTCTGAATTCATTGTATTTTGTCAATTTCTTTGGTGTAAATATTCCTACCATGATCAATTTCAACTTACCAATGTAATATCACTGAATACAGAGATGGAAAGAAATGAGCATAATTTGCTCTCATAAGTCAGCTCCAAAATACCACTAAACCACAAATAATACATTTCAATAGATCTTTTTTAAAATATATATATATATATTTTATTGATTTTATACAGAGAGGAAGGGAGAGGGACAGAGAGCGAGAAACATTGATGAGAGAGAAACATCGATCAGCTGCCTCTTGTACACCCCCAGCCGGGGATGTGCCCGCAACCAAGGTAAATGCCCTTGACCGGAATCGAACCTGAGACCTTTCAGTCCGCAGACCGACGCTCTATCCACTGAGCCAAACCGGTTTCAGCTCAATAGATCTTTGATGCCCTCGAAATATACTATAAACTCTTCAGGCTGGCCTATAAGACCCACCATGATCTGGCCCTAATCATTTCTCCAGCCTAATCTCCCATCCTTTGCTGACCCCATTTCTAACCAATACACACCTTGCTCAAATACTTTACTTTGTGCTTTAGTCAATAAGGGCAAAGATGGGAAGAGATTTTCCAGGGCCCCAGAAAGGAGAGCTCAAAGTGGGTGGGGCAGGTATAAAAATGGGAAGAGGCCAAAGGCAGGTTTGCCATCAGCTCAGAATTCAGTGGAATACACCGATAACAGTAGAAGCGAGACAATGTTATATAATGGGACCAGAATACCTGACTCCTATCTTAATCCTGTCTGTATGACTTTTAACAATTATTTCAGGATACTTAGGCCTCAGTTTGTCCACATCTACAATGTGAGTTTGGGGATCAATACCTAAGAGCTTTCCAATTCTGACAGTTTTTCCCTATGAAGAACCTAAGTGAATAAGGCCAGCAGAGCAGCTAAAACTTGAGTCCTGGTTTTGGCCTCCTGGCTGCACTCACCTAAGATCTCCTAAAGGGAGATGTGAGTTAAAGGACCAATTTACACCGTCCTTATGGAGTTCTCATTCCCCAAAGTCCTACATTTCCTTGCGGGGCACATGCAGCCAGCCCTTCTTTCTCTCCTGATTGCTCCCTAATTGCTGAATCTTCTCCTGAGTAATGGGATCCCTTAGGACTGGGAGGCTCCTATGGCGACACGGAGCTATTTGGCTGCATCCTTAGGGACTCCTTGAACGATTCTGAAAATGGAGAGCTGCTATTTCATTGCCCCCTAAAATAAGGTGACCACACGTCCCGCTTTTGGCGGGACAGTCCCGATTTTCAACAATTTGTCCCGAGTCCTGAGGCGTTTTAAAAAAGTCCCGATTTTTGGAGAGAATGCACGACAAGCTAGGGAACGGCGGGAGAATGGGGAGGGAATATACGGTTTTCTGCGGCCCTGTGGCTATTTAGCCAGGATATGAGTTTTATGTTATTTTTGTTAATTCTATAATGTTAAACTTTAATAATAACAAAAGATTGTTGAGAACTTATTATCGCGAACTGCTTATTAAAGTTCTCATTGTTGATCAGTTGTTAGAATTGTGGAATACACACTGTCCTTACCAGGAACTAATGCTGCGACTGAACGCGTTTTTCTATGGTAAATAAAGTGTGGACATCAGAAAAATCACATTGATAAATTACATAAGTTACAAGTGCACAATTATGTTTAATACATCATCTGTATATAGCATTGCTCACCACCCAAAGTCAAGAATCCTGTATTTCAAGAGCATTTCTTTGCTGCTTTGTGATCTTTCTTCCAAATGTTTTAGTCTACCATTGATAGAAAATTCTGCAAAGCAGCCTGCATCAAGAGAGTATCTGTCTTGATCCATTCTTGTAGGTTGTGCAATATCCACACAACCGCCACCAGAATACCTTCTCCTGGTCCTGAGGCCCGTGGGGCGGGATTGTAGCAGTTTCTTCCTAGAACAGCCGTTTCCGGGCCTTGGGAGAAGGCCCCAGAGGGCGCCGGGGGCGCACCTGAGGACCTGGACTGGGCGACGGAGGCAGAGGGTGGAGCGGAGAGCTGGGGAAGGGCTCCCACAGGCGGAAGTCCAGGTTGTAGTAGGGACCAGGTGGGCGTCTCTCTGGACTAGGCGTGGGGGCTCGAGGCGGGTGGGTTTCTAATCCCATTCCAGCGACTAAGCAGAGTGCATCGAACATCCAACGAGTCAGGAACCTGCTGGCCGTGTCCTCGTCATAGGCCTGTTCTGGGTCGTAGGCCTCCTCTGGGTCATAGGGCACCTCTGGGTCACAGGGCATTTCTTGGTCGTAGGCTTCCTCTAGGTTGTAGGCCTCCTCTGGGTCATAGGGCACCTCTGGGTCATAGGCCTCCTCTGAGTCGTAGGCCTCCTCTGGGTCATAGGGCACCTCTGGGTCGTAGGGCACCTCTGGGTCACAGGGCATTTCTTGGTCATAGGCTTCCTCTAGGTCGTAGGGCACCTCTGGGTCGTAGGGCACCTCTGGGTCATAGGGCACCTCTGGGTCGTAGGGCACCTCTGGGTCATAGGGCACCTCTGGGTCGTAGGCCTCCTCTGGGTCGTAGGCCTCCTCTGGGTCGTAGGGCACCTCTGGGACATAGGGCACCTCTGGGTCGTAGGCCTCCTCTGGGTCGTAGGCCTCCTCTGGGTCATAGGGCACCTCTGGGTCGTAGGGCACCTCTGGGTCACAGGGCATTTCTTGGTCGTAGGCTTCCTCTAGGTTGTAGGCCTCCTCTGGGTCGTAGGGCACCTCTGGGTCATAGGGCACCTCTGGGTCATAGGGCACCTCTGGGTCGTAGGGCACCTCTGGGTCATAGGGCACCTCTGGGTCGTAGGCCTCCTCTGGGTCATAGGGCACCTCTGGGTCATAGGGCACCTCTGGGTCGTAGGGCACCTCTGGGTCATAGGGCACCTCTGGGTCGTAGGGCACCTCTGGGTCATAGGGCACCTCTGGGTCGTAGGCCTCCTCTGGGTCGTAGGGCACCTCTGGGTCATAGGGCACCTCTGGGTCGTAGGCCTCCTCTGGGTCGTAGGGCACCTCTGGGACGTAGGGCACCTCTGGGTCGTAGGCCTCCTCTGGGTCGTAGGCCTCCTCTGGGTCAGCGGCCTCCTCTGGGTCGTAGGGCACCTCTGGGACGGCAGCCTCCTTTGGGTCGTAGGGCACCTCTGGGACGGCGGCCTCCTTTGGGACGGCAATCTCTGGGTCGGCGATCTCTGAGACAAATGCGAAGAAGAATCCCTGCTGGGTGGCAAAGCTCCCCCGGAGAGCGCGGGGTTCCAGGCCCACAGGCGAGTGCGCCCCCCATCCTGAGCCCCAGAGCGCCTCGGGCACCAGCACGAGGGTGTGTCCTCCCGCACACACTTGCAGGACCGACATGGGCTCGGGCGCTATTCGGTCTTTAGGGCCCGCGGGCTCCTCAATTCGGCGGCGCTTGGCAGGGCCGGGCCCCCCGGACTGCGGTTCCCACCAGGGCGCGGCATAGGAGCTGGGGCTGAGCGGGCGTCTGCCCAGCATCCTGGCCGCGGAGGGTCACTCAGCGGCGGCTGCAGAGACAGGCGGGGCGGGGACAGGCGGGGCGGAGGCAGGCGAGGCAGGTGAAGCGGGCGGGGTGGGCGGGTGAAGAGCTGCAGGGCAAGTCCTCGGACCTCCTGGGCGTCCGCCCCACAGGCGCGCAGTCTGGCTTGTGGGAGCCAACGCCCCCGCTTCCAATCTTTATCCGCCCGTGCTGACCCCACCCACACCCACCCTCCAATTGTGTGCCCAGAAACAGCGGCTCCGGGCTAAACCCCGCCCCGTCCGAGGCCCCGCCCCGCCGAGAGGGGGGCAACTTTCCCGCCAATATCCGAGGCTGTAGTTTGTAATCCCGTTAGGAGGCCACCATGCTGCTCTGGGCCGGATTTCCAGTGTGGCTCCTGTTGTTTTTTGAGTTGATCTTGGATGAGGAGAACAGGATAACCCAAACGCGATTACCGACACGTAAGACTGTCTTCCCCTTCGAGCCTCATGCCCTCGTGACCTGCGCTTTTCTCTTTGGGAGTGGGGCGAGTTTTTGGGTCACATCATTATTTCCTGCTTGCCTAAGTTATAACTACTGTCAGATCCTTTCGGTCTTGCTAGAATGGAGTGTGTGACTAGCAGCCTCCGTACGATAAACTTACCAAAGCGTTGGACCCAGACTGCAGCAGCTAAGTGTACCTGTTTTGAGCCCAATTTGCAGATAAAAACACCACGCGGAAGGATTTTGTCCCAGAGCCGGTCTGAGAGGGGAAACTGCATTATTTTATTTTATTTTATTTTATTTTATTTTATTTTATTTATTTTATTTTATTTTATTTTATTTTATTTTATTTTATTTTATTTTATTTTATTTTTCTGAGCTAAAGAGCAGATTTTATTTCTCATTTCCCCAGAACACTACGAGAGCACATGGCATGGTGACCTCGCACACAATTACAGACTGGTCTATGCAGTCCGTCACCTGGAAATGGCTGTCATCATCCTTACAAATGTACGCTCCTCAGTGACCTCTGTCCAAGTTATCAACACACAACAAAGCAGGAGTGGCCGCAGGAAAACCTTCGCCAAGAGGCACCGGACTCCTGGAGCTGCCAGCCTGCCTCAGAGACCCGCCAGCTGCCTCTCTGCGTGGTCTCACGCTCGCTTCCAGTTCAGGCCACGCTGCCAGGGTCCCGGTTTGAGAAAGGTTTATTCTAAAGGTGAGCTTGATATTGCAGCTTTCACCATAGGGCCTCTGCTAAAATTTCATTTCAGAAGGAAAGGAAGGTGAGAAAAGAAATCAAGTGTTTCTCCGACCACAATGATTCTACAAAAACGCAGCAATGATAACAGCACATCACCAACGCAGCATCCTGGAGATGGTCAGCCGGCCGGGGAGAAAGCGTCCGGACAGGAGCCAGGACGGGTGATGGTTTGTAAGGAACTTTAAGTCACATCTTTATGGTCTAGTCTGGCATCTATGCAGGTTATGATCCTGTTCTCACCGAAATGGTCTCCCGATCCTGAACGGCTTTCGAGGAAATTTAAAACACGATCAGTAATGTCCTCCCACGTCACCGGCTTCCCATGAGTTCCAGTCCCGCTCGCTGAGTCTGTCAGGACAGAAACCAGGCAGGGACCTCGCGCTGCACTGCGTGCACCAGGCAGAATGGGAGGAAATCGTTCTAGGACAGATGAACCTATTTTAGTGTGCAGCCTGGACCTCCACCGCGGCATCACGGCGTGGCTGCTTCACAAGCCTGCGGGGCCCAGGGGCCGGGGCGGGCCGCGGAGGTCCGGGGGGCGCTGGGCAGCACCTCCCCGCGCTCTGCTGTGTGCCCAGGCAGCGCGGGCTCCGAGGGGCCGCGGAAGCGCGCTGGTGTCACTCGGGAGCACTTCGGGCCATACCTGCAGCGCCGTGGACAGGACCGGGAGCCGGCCAGGGGGCTCCCACGCGGAGACGCTCCCCTCCGGGAGGGCCCGTGGTGCCCCCGCAGAGACACCGGTTCCTGACTGCGAGCCGCGTGGCAGTCCTGGCCCCCCAGGCTCTCCTCTGCGGCACCGGCCGGGGGCCCTTCCAGCCAGTCCTTCACCGGGGCTGCCCGACACCACAGGGCACCCCAGCCAGGCGCTCCTCCGCAGGCCCAAAGGACAGGTCCGCAGTCTTGCCCGGAGCCACCGCGGAAGCCGAATTTCTTCTCAGTGATTCTGTCAAACATGCACCGCCGGGAAGCCAGGCCTCCGGAGGGGCACGCTTCGTTTCCAGCGACACCGTCTCGTTCTGTGCGTTTCCGTGGCCATCCCCCGCAGGCGCCTTCGCCCAGGGACGGCCGCCCGGTGGGCGCGGGCTCTCCCGTGCTCGCAGGCTGCACGGTGGCTTGGCCGAGTCCCCTCGCGGCACCTTGGCGAGGCAGGTGCCCAGGGGCCCGGTCCGGTCCCTCATGCTGCGCCTCTGCGGCGGGGCCCGCGGACACGGCGGTGCCAGCCGGCGGGAGGTCCTCAGTGCATCTCCATATGAACCTGCAGGCGGACGTTGAGCATCATGGAGGCCACGATGTAGAGGTAGGGGAAGTGGATGCGCAGCCGCCAGGCCAGGTCGAAGAAGATGAGCAGCGTGCGGGTCAGCCCCTTGCAGAAGACCCCACAGGAGCGGGCGGCGGCCGAGCGCTAGAGGCGGACAGCCAGGCCGACAGCGCAGCCGCCATATAGACCCGCGCCCGGCGCCCCGAAGCCCGCCGCCCGCCCTCCGACAGGCCCCGCGTTCCCTCTCCCCCTGCCTCGGGCCTCCGCCCCGGCCGCCGGCCAGCGCTGGGCGCGCGGAGGGAGCGAGGGAGGCGGCGAGGAGGCGCGGCGGCCGCGGGCGGGCCGCGGGGCGGGCAGTGCGCCATCTCCCTGTGGGAAGCGCCTGGGGAGACACCAGGCGCTTTAAGTTGGTGCAGGGTCGGGGCTTTCACCAGAATGCCCCTTAGAGGCGTGTCTTGAGCGAAGGTGTGGCTCAGCATGTCAATAGGAGTAAACGCCCAACGCTTTCATATGGTGACAGAGGGCAAGGAACTATTGCCTTCTGCCCCTGTCTCCTAACCTCGTGGTTGCTCATTTTGTCCCTTTTTACAAAATAGCATGCAGCCCTAAAAATGGGAGTACTCAAGACTCTCATTTTTAGGGCTGCATGGTATTCCTTTATTCGGAACTATATTTAAATCGGGGCTCTCTTGATTAAGGTGACAGGCGTCCCGATTTTGAACAATTTGTCCCGTGTCCCTCGGCGGGACTTTTAAAATTTATTTATTTTTTCACTGTTATCACCGTTTATTTGACAATAGTTGGTTTAGTCTACAAGTTTAAGGCAAACATACTAATGCATTTGCTTTTTCTTCAGAAATCATACTTAGAAAGATTACATAAAGTCTGTCCCAAAACTTCTAAGAAATATTAATTAAAAATAAGTCTGATTAAGACGTTTTATCAGAATACATGAATGAACTTAGGTGGCATACAATGTTTCCTTAAAAACAAAATAAATAAAAAGGTAGTGGCAATCTTTATCTTGTTTGAAGAATATGTTTGAAAGGGTTAAACTTCAGAAAGTACTTAAAGGTAAGTAAGATTGGCAGCCATAAGGAATACCATTCACAAAATGAACAGAGTTATGGAGGCTCCTGTAGGAGCCGCAGGGCGGGAGGCGGAGGGCAGCGCCCACCACGGCCGGTCGGGCTGGCAGCGGCCCCTGGCCGCACGGCTCCGGGGTTTCTCAGGAAAGAGGTGAGTAGGGGCGCTGTGTCAGCTGTTCCTTTTGTTTCCAGTGAGCAGGAGATTCGGCTGAACTTTTTTAAAACGCCGAGGGACGCGGGACAAATTGTTCTAAAGCGGGACGTCTGCTCACCTTACTCTTGATGGACATTTGAGCCGCTAATGGTCTGTGACTTGGGAGCAATGGCATTCCTTGGGGAATCTGTGGGAAAGGCAAATTCTTTGCCCCAGGAACACACCCCAGGACCACTGCATCAGAAGTCCCGGAGCGTGCAGCCCAGGAAGTCTCGGTAAGCACCTTCAAAGAGTTGTTTTGCACTACAGTTAAACTAAACTTGTTTTCAAAATCTAGCAGTTGAGGGCTTTGGGTTCCAGGGGTGGTTTATGCTTGTTAATGACCAAGTCATAAGGGAACTCAAACTTCCTGGGCTGCATTCGGGGATTTTGCCAGCACTCCTGGGCTGCATCTGCCCTTAAGGCTGGATTTCCTGTCTGTATGGGCGGGAATTCCCCGGAAGTGGCACAACCCAGTGGCCGTCCCCGCTGGGCACATATGCATGCGGTTGGAACCTACACCCAGGCTCCCAGGGGATGGGAGCAGCTGCTGTGTTTCCGGGCTCGGTGGTGGGAGGAGCTTGGAGGAAAGCATTGCTTTGGCCCGAGAGAATTCTGTCTTTGATCCACGAACATTCCACATTCGATGAATAATGCGGGCAACATTCAGGAGAGAGAGGGTGAAGGTGCCATGTGAAGGGTACAGATAGACGAATTTAAAGCTGGCCAGGACTCCAGGAGGAGCCCTAGGCTCCTGGCCTGGACTGTAGTGGGGTCAGAACTGGGGTTCAGTGCAGTCGGGGGCTTCCTTTCCCCTCCCGCCAGAGAAAGCCAGCCAACCACTCAGCTACCCTTCCTCTCTGGGTGCATGTCTTCATACCTCAGCTTTTTGCAGCTCCTCTGATTCTCTGTGAGCTTTCCTCTTTCCTTCTAGTTGTAGAATTTCCATTCATTCAACTTTCCTGTGGTTCTGGATGATGTCCATTCTGTTTTTTAGTTGTAGTTTTGAAATTGTAGTGCGAGGCAGCAGTTTAGGTGCTTACCTATGCCACCATATGGGTTTCTCTCCTCATTTAACTTTGATAAATATCAGTTTTCCCAGTTGTAAGTGCAGTTAACAGTAGGTATTAAATTGTGGGCAGCATTTCAGGATGATTATGATTAGTGTATTGTAAATGTTCTGGATTTCTCTGTGTTTAGAAATCTGTTCAGAG